TTACATACAGCCCTTTGTACGAGCAACTCCTTTACTTCTATAGCCACGTTATAGCTTGGATTACTGAAAAGAAAGGCGCCTTTCAACGCACTTCATACATCATAGATGGTTGCATAGGAGCGAACTGAAAAATTTCAAGTTGCGTTGCCTTGTTTTGAACAAGATCCCAATGTTTGCTATATACCACTTATATTTTAGCAATGATTTTCTTCGACTGTTCACTTAGTGATATTATTTTTACGACTATTTCTAGTAATATTCCCAGAACACTGACATTGACACATTAGTTGGTATTATCGTAACTCTACACTCTACCGAAGCTCTTGAGCCGGCTTTACTTGTGTACAGAGGAGTCAGTGAAAGAGTGGGGAAGTGTGAACAAGCTTTTAGAGCCTTTGAACACAGTTATCCAGGTTGTCGACTTTTCTCCAAAGCGACTGCTTTGATATTAAAACTGCCTAAAGCGTCGGTCACAACCCACCGTGTGTGCTTTTTGTCCGTACGTTTTTTGGGAGGCTATAAGTCTGCTGCGTTTTTTTCTGAAAACGTGGGGAAGGAGTGGCATCGACGCACGTCACTCGCACGGTTTCGTAAGGTGTAAGAGTGTGGTCTGCACGCCAAGTCTGGCCGTGAGCGGTTGCGTGCATCGTACGTTGCGCAAGTGGTGAGTTGTACGTGCTTACAACGTACGAACTCTATGGAAACGCCACTTTACCGTAAGGAGGCCGTACTCACATGTGCTGCTTACGTACCGTATGTACGGAGCACGCGCGTCGCTCGTACTTGCACGTACGGGTGGTGAATCCGCAGACCGCACGCACAAAAAATTGAGGTGTTCAAAAACTCGTGTCGTAGAGTGAAACTCGTTGCTACCAAGCGCAGTTTGGGGCATCATCACTAGAAATAAACAACTCTTGCAAAGATTGTAGTCGGCTGGTGTTCTTCCAGGTCGGCTACTATTTGGGTGCGGCCATATAATTCAAAATGTTTAAAACATTCGGGTGTGAGAGGGTCGGCAGTGGTCGGGGCACGGTTGGGAGTCAAATCTAACTCGAATTTAACTCAAATTTGATTCGATTCGTTTCAAAAGGTAGTCTGGTTGCTCCCGAACTTCAGGCAAACTTGGTCTGCCGGTGTTCGGTAATCTCCAAGCAGATCCCTTTCGGTGGCAAGACAGTATCCATTAGTCAGAGAAGGTCACCGGCCACCGACGTTGGAGGGGGCTAGCCTCTACTAGGCTTCGTGAGGCGGTTGGAAAGGGTAGAAATCGGCCAAATAGAGAGATAACATGCCGGGGGAGTTTGTCTGCTGGAAGAGAACATTTTGCCGCACCTGGTAGAAGCTAGGTGGGGGAAGCGACAAAAAAAAACGGCTAATAAAAAGCTAACGATCATTCTCCAACCTCTGCTTGGAGAGTAGGTGTTCGGGGGATGGTTCTGAATGTGTGGCGGGGGATTAACACATGAGTTGCGGGGAGACGGGCGCGGCACGTCGTAACCCAGGATTAGCTCCAGTCAAGGTTGTTCCCATGTACAGGTTATTCATGAAGGGTGCTTTCAGGTCGTATCAGCCCTATTGACGCCGTGATTGGAACAATTACCTTGTTGATAAATACTGACAAATTTACTCTAAGCGTTGTGGACGGGTTCATTTAGCAACTGGAGGGATGAAGAAGAACTTAAAGGCACCTAAAGCGACTTCAGGGTGGTGAAACTGGATTTTCAGAGTCACTTTTTGGGTCATTTTTTCCCAAATGTAGTTAGTTATGTGGGGTCGTGTGGCGCAGTCGGTAGCGCGTTCGGCTCACACCCAAGAGGTCGTGGGTTCGAATCCTGCCCATGTCACCGACCTTGTGCCCTTGGAAAAGGCACTTAATCGACTTTCCTCACTTCACTCAGGTGGAAATGAGTACCTAGATTCGGTTAGGGACGTACCTCGGATAGGACGTTAAATGGAGGTCCTGTGTTTGGGAGAGCCACACCCCACACATGTTAAAGAACCCACCCCACACTTATCAAAAAGAGTCGGCGACCTTCCCGGTGTGCGTGATTCAAACCTTACAGTCCGGTCTTACGCAGCTTGTACATGTACGTACGTCTATTACAACTATGGAATGCCCCCCCC